GATTCCCCGGTTGGGTTGTTTACTTTAATCAATTCGCCAGCGAACGATCAAATCTGGATTTGATTACGTGCCTATAAAGATAACCAAAAGCCAACATAAGTAAACTCCCCCCTTCCATCAAACTCGACTCAGACAATAGCTGGCATTAACAACACGCCAATTACATTTTTATCAGGTAGTTAAGTTAATTACCTGTGGTAAATGTGTTCGCAGGACGAGAGGAGATGGCTGTCAACGTTTGCTGACCACTTTAAAGCTCTGCCTGAGGTGTGGGAGGCATCGAGGCAGGACTGCGGCTCGCAGATGTGTTTACACCTGCTCCCGCCACGTAAAAAAGCCAATGGAGCTTTGAGGCTGAAGCCTGAGTGTCTTCCTTCCACCACAAGATGGCTCTGTATGGTTTCTTTTCAGAAGTGACACGGCTCCTGGGCAAATCCGTGTTTGGGACACAGCACGCGCCCCCCGGCGAGGCGTCGTCAGAGCTGGCAGTCAGTCGGCTTGGAGCAGATTCCCGGCCTGAACTGCTCCCCCACATGCAACGGTGGCGAATCTTTGCGTCATTTTTAAGATAGGACTTATTGCCTCGGCCTATCTGTATTGATAACCCCTTTCCCAACCCACCCCCCGCAAACCGGTGTAAGTCGAAACTTGCTTCCGGTCACCAACAGGTCCACGGCCTTCCCCTGCCCTGCTGGGCAGTACCAAGTGCCTTCGGGCCTCGCTTCAAGGAGACCTGTAGATGTATCTCGTTATCTCCAAAGCGTTTTAATTTTTTCTGCCAGTCAAAAAGCCCCCGAGAATAATTTCACCGCCTTGGGCCGTTCTGAGTGCTCACCACGTATTAACTTATTTAATTCTCCCTGGGGCTTCTCAGCTCTGGTGAATCACTTGTTACCAGAATTCCTGCTTTCCGGCACCCCCCATTTTGTCGAGACAATTTTGCCTCCTGTTCTTTCGTCGTTCTGGGATAATATGCTTTCTCTGGAAACCATCCTTACTGTCATTTATTTTCGGAGTTTCAGAAGAAAGCAGGTCAAGTGCTCACGCTCAAGCCACTTATTTACTAGGGAGCCCCGAGGGAGCCCTCTGTGTGCAGCATCTCGTATAGCCATCGCCCATGACAAGCCTGGACCGTACCTTCATTTGTCAGGCGAGGAAACTGAGGTACAGGAGACTTGACCCGCTCGCCCCGGTCCACACGGCTGGGAGGTGGAGGCGAACAGGAACCCAGTTCCAGATCCCTCTGTCACCACGGGGTCCCTTCGCACCTCTCTCGTTCCCCAGACCCTTGACTTCTTCCTTCTGGGTTTATGTTTTTTTTCTTCCTGGCCACTCTTTAGCTCCCTGAGAAAGAGGTCACGGGAAGTAAAAATGTGGGGGACTCTACACATCTAAAAATGTCTTTTGTCTACCCTCCTACTGAAGCATTTGGCTGAGCGCAGAATTCTAAGTTCGAAATTTCTTTTTCTCAGGATTTCGACCCCGCGGGTGTCAAAGAGAAAAAATAAAAAGTTTGCAAGAAGGAAAGAGACATCGGTTTGCCACGTGGCCCGGCTGTCATCGTGTTAGTAAAAATACGGAAGACTGGCCTAACTGAATTCTGACATAATCCCAAAGGAGAATGAAGGATCGAGAGCAAAGCCTCCAAAGCCAGACTGCCCGGGGCGACTCTGCGTCCCCTGCCCTGCGGGTTAACCGTGCGATGGGGCCCCGTGCGTAACCACCCTGACTCGATTTCCTGATCTGTAAAATGGGGATTGTGACAGAATATGAAGCTTGGGGGGCATTATTCAATGAATTAATACATGTGAAAGGCTCAAAGCAATGCCTGCCATGTAGTGAGTTCTGTATCAGAGGAAACTAGTATTGTTCTTTTAGAACCATTTAGGAGGCTGGAATGAGAAGTGTGTGTGTGTGTGTGTGTGTGTGTGTGTGTGTGTGTCTTAATCTTTCTATTCTCTCAGGGAAAAGCAATAGAAAATGCCTAAAATGGAAGAATCAGGAAGCAGGACTTTAAGAGGTGTAAAGAAACATACCCCCCAAATAAAAGACAAAGTGAGCGCGAAACGGTTCCTTCTGGAGAACAAGGAATTGAGGGTGGGGGCGGGGGATGCAGAGGTGTGTTGTTTTCCACAACGGGCCTTACGGAAAGGTGACAGTTGGTGGCCCAGAAGTAGACCCTGAGATGAGGAGTTGTGTGCGGGATTGATCAAGCACTCCCAGAAGAAAAAGTTGGGCTGAGGAGAAAGTCGGCCACCGCAGGGTAAGCAGCCCAGCTCAGCCTGACCCCACCACAGGCCAGGTCACCCAGCTGCCTCTCCCGCACCCACGTCCCCACGGCTAAGGGTCAGATGCTCTCCACCCACAGGTGGAGGAGGCTCTGCAGCCCCCAGGCGTGCCTCTGGGGACAGTCCTGGGTGCTGGCGCCCAGAAGGCTGGTGATAGGCCTCAGAAATGTGAAGGAATCTGGGTGGTGGCCTTTGAAGAGCTCAGAGTCCTAAAAATATAGTTTGAAACTCTCCAGTTGGTATCTCCAGCCAGACCCTCCCAGACAAGTAATAAACCCGACTCCTCCCACCGCAGGGGACTGTGGCTGGAGGCAGCTGATGTTCTTCCTCAGAATGTTTGGGGGGGTTTTGCAGGTGGTCAAATACCTCCCTGCCTACTTTCCAGCAGAAAGCAGAGAAACCAGTGTGGGCGGGGAATCTTTGTGGACTCTGCAGTCACTCCCTTAGAAAGCCACTCCCTCTGCACAGGTGGCCTGCTGCTCCAAAAATTTATCCTGGTTAATCGTCACCGCCTCCTCCACACACTCCGAGTAAAAACGATAGTGCCAAAGTAAAGTTTAGTTTGGTTATAATATTCAAACGGTACCTTTTTTTTTTGGCAAATACAACCAGCAACAAAGGATTCTTTGTTGCTCAAAATAACTCGGAGAAAGAAAAATCCATCCTTCAGTTTTCTGCAGAGGACACTGCCCTGCCTTTCTCTCACATTTGCAGACTCGCATTGATTGGTAAATAAATCTTAGTAAAAACTTCGTATGTCACGATGTGATTAAAACGCATAAAGTCTTTCTTCACCTATCAACAGGGGGTGATCTCATACTAAAGTTTTTAATCCTTTTTACCACTAAAACGGCACTGGCCCAGGTGCCCCGGTTGTCAGCTGGAGGCTCTGTGATACACGCCCCCGAGGGCGTGGGGCTGGCACAGCACCTCACACAGTGCACCCCAATAAACATCTGAAAGAGCCAGCCTGAAGCTACTGCATGGACGTTCACCCCCTTTATACTGATAGAATAAACATGTCCGTCTCTCTGTGGCCCTCCCCGAGAGCATGATAAATGGCAGGTCTCTGTGGGAAGGGAATAAGTAAGCCACCTGTTTATGGACCAGAGTTATTGTCACGCACCGCCCCACGGGAGAACATGCTCCTTCCTAGATGACAGCTGCCTCTCTTGGGCCACCCACTCTTTGGGAAGCTGGGGGACACCATCTGGCTGGACTCAAGCCTTGCTGGAAACAGTTGCTAACTCTAGGACTTAAAATCGTGACAACTAAAGACAACCAAAAGACCTAACATTTCAAACCAAGTTGCTGGCTCCATTTACTCTCAGCCGCCCGAAGCATGACTTTTGAAAAATCTTTTTCCACTCACCCTCCGGAGAGGGAATTCTTAACCTGGGGTCCTAACTCGATGAAGTTGTGTGCAACATTTTGTGCCCAGGTGTGTGTGGGTATTTCCTGGGGATGGGACCCGGGGATGACCTCCCAGCTATCGTGACGGGCAGTCGAGGTGACAAAAGGAAGCTTGATGTGGCCTGGAGTATTTCTTTTTACTACGTTTGGTAGAGGATGTGCCCATATAAACCAGTTTCTTTAACCTATCTCTGACGGCCTCCGAAACCTCACTTTCTAAGGAGATTTAATAAATATTTTTTGAATGAATAGATGTTGCAAAGAACATTTAAGAGATCGACACGCCTCTGCTCTGTGCTGTGAGGTAAACACACAAATGGTTCTCTAGCCTCAGAAACGCTATAGGTTTCACTCTAAAATGTAATTGATAAATAGGACACCTCCGCTTATTAGTGAAGGGACCCCTCAAGAGGACTGCATGGAACCACAGCTGTGGGGGCGGGGAGGAGTCATCAAAGGTGGGAGCCTCAGGGGTGAATGCGCGGGTGTGTGGCTCTTAGACGGTCAGCTGACGCCGAACGCCCTGCCAGGCACGCGGGGCTTCCTTACCTGTGAGTAGGGATAATAACGTCTTAATGAGATGACATTATTAAAGTACTTAGGATAGAAATTGGCCAACAACTGACCTAAAATAACTGAGAAGGGGAAGAAGGGGGGTATTTCAAAGCCAGTTGATAGAACACAGGAAACGTGAAGCATGAGAGAACATTTTTAAAAATCGTAGGCATGCTAGAAAGCAATAATGAATATTTTTGTTAAAGATAAAAATGAATGTTTTATATGAAGTGTTGTTGGGACCAAGGGAAACGCCATAAAAGTTTCCACTGTTATTTCTGGTGCTTCGTACCGATTCAGTCAATTTGAGCTTATTGACACTGCCACGTGCAGGCCCTGTGCTGGGCGCTGGGGTACCGTGGTGGCCAGGGACATGGAGCCTGCCATCCGGAGCCTGCAAAGAGCTTCTGGAAACCATGAGTCAGACAACTTCTGCGGGCCGTGGGGCGGGTGATCCGGCCGGCTGGAGCTGGTCTGGCAAGCTCTTTGGTGGAATCAGCTCCTAAGCTGTCACCTGACGAGGGGACATTTGCTCATTGCAAGGGACAGCAGGGAGGAAGAGGGAGAGAGGGATACAAGCCAGGTGAAGAGGGTGGCGGCGGTCTGTAGGGTCACAAGCGGCGAAGGGCAGCCGAGGGCGCTGGGACAGAGAGGAAGCGAGGGAGGGGGGGGAGGTGCTGCGTCTGCGAGGCCTCGTGGGGGCTTCGTCCTGAAGCTATGGGTCACCCCTGAAGTCCCTTAGCCATGGCGTGGGGGCAGGATCAGAGAGGGCGCCTGCGGCTGCAGGACACACCTGGAAATCAGGTGAGAGGATGGTGGACTGGGCCAAAACGGCGGCGGTGCGGTCCAAGAGGGAGGGGTGGATCCGCTCCTAAGGTGAACCAAGAAGCCACGCACGGAGGGGGCGAGGTCCTCCTAAAGATGCTCGCTCGCCTCTGCGCGGGCGTCGCTGGTGGCCGGGTGGAAAACACTGGCCGAGGAGGTCAGCAAACGCCGAAGGGGCGCGTGGGCTGCGGCTGGGAAGGGCAGGTCCCGGGCCTGAGCCGCGGGGAACCAGAGGGCAGGGGGCCCGCTCGCCAGGCGGAAGGAAGCTGGCCACTGCAGACTGAAACGGGCTTGAAGCGGTGGCCGTGGTGACACCCAGGCCGGCGGGGCCGTTACCGCGGCGGGAAGGGGCAGCAGGCAGATGGAAACCGGGCTGCAGCCGCTCGGGGAGCGGACCACCCAGCAGGGCCAGGGGCGGGTCCAGGCGCTGGCCGGCGGATGGGTGCGCAGGTCCACGTGGGGGACATTCAAAGGGCGCATGCTGAGAGGGGGTGATAAAGCTGCAAAGGCACAGGTGACCGCCTGCGGCCCTCTCCCGACTGGGCATCTAGACGATCGGTGACTCTTCACACGGCGAGGGGCCGACCGACCGATGAAGAAACCGAGGCACAGAGAGGCTACCGTGCCGAGTTCTTCCATGACGCCCACGGCCACCCCGCGAGGGGCGGGGTCTCCTCTGCTTCGCGGGGCCGCGAAGCCGCTTGGGGAGCCTTTCCCACAGTCGTCCCCAGGTAGTTAGTGGCGACTGGGGCCCGATGTCTTTCTATCGCACGTCTATCAAAGAGCACGTGGTTCTCTGCTCCTTTAAGTTGCACGTGTGTTTCGTGGGCCACGTCCTGGCTCCTTGCTGAGCTGCAGGACAATGACTGGCCTTAGCCAACTCCCTTGGCCGTGCTGGACCCGCCCGGGAGAAGGGAACACTGGGAGACGAGAGCGAAACGGGCTTGGAGGGACCACGCGTCGAAGGTCTCCCGGGGCATCCACGTTTGAGCCGTCACATCCACTTACATCGTGACTGTGCTCGTTCTGGTTACGCTGTGGATCTGATGTGTGGTTAGAAAGAAGCCGGTAGAATGGCCGGGCGCTTCGTCAGCATCCCCCCTCCTGGCAGATGCTCCCTCCTTCGTGTGAGTCCCGGACCTCCAGGTCTGGAGCTCCTTCGTGTCATGGAAGACTGACTCCGAGCGTTGGTCATGCTGCACAAGTCACTCCCAATCTTAGTGACTGAAACCCACACACCTTCACTATCTTACACTTTCTGTGGGTCGGGTACCTGGGTTCAGCTTAACTGGGTTCTCCCCTTCCGGTCTCTCCCAGTCTGCAGTGAAGGAGGTGGCCGGGGCTGGGGTCTCGTCTGAAGGTCTCACTGAAGAAGAGTCTGCTTCTAAGCCACATGGTTGTTGGCAGGATTCAGTTTCTTTTAGGTGGCTGTTGACCAGAGGACACCCTCAGCTCTTTGGCCTGTGGGCTTTTCCAACACGGTGGCTCATTTCACCCATGTGTACAAGCCAAGAAGGTAACGAAGGAGAGTCTGCGGGGAAGACAGGTGTCCCAATACTTTGTAACCTAGTTGCATCTCATCAGCTTTGCTTTATTCTGTTAGTCGGAAGCACTTCACAGGTCCAGGCCACACCGGAGGAGACGGATAATGACCCACGGACGTGAATCCCAGGAAGCGGTGATTATCGGGGGCTGTCGTAATACTCCGCCCACCACAACTCTAATTTAAGAACGGAAGGCATAAGTCAGCAAGAGGAGAAAAAAGATAAAGACTCCTGTTTTAAAATTACCTCCCACGTGCTGAGCCCTGTGCCACGCACCTCGCAAGAATTAATTGTCTCATGTAATTCTCACAACGACCCTGTGGCACAGGCATTAACCCCACTGTACAGACAGCAGTAGGTTCAGAGGGATTAAACCACTATCTCCGGGTCAAATAGCGAATGGCAGAGCTGGGATCCGGCGCGGGTCGGCCAGACTGCAGAGCTCACGTTTCCACTCAGCACCGTCACCCAGTGGCCTTTTCACCCGTGTGCTCCAAGGTCTCCTACCTGCCTCCTTTTCCTCTGGTCCCACGATCACATGCGTTGAGCCCCAAAAGTCCCATTCTGCTGACGATAATGGCCTCTCCGTGTGCCTCCTGACTCCAGAATTCTCCCTTCTAATCCTACTGCGTACACTTTAGTTTTCTTTAGTCCCATATTTGTTGGGGTTAGAAAGTCTTAGGTTTGTTGGAGTAACTGGGGGGAGAACGGGCGAGATCTGAAGCCATTCGGGGGTGGATGGCCTCACATGGTTGACTGATTTGATCCCTGAACACCCCTTTTCTGAAGGGACCACAGCCGACCAGGAAGCTGAAGGATCGGGGCCTTCCTGGGGCATACCTGGAGATGGGAAGGTAAAACCAACGAGCCCTTTAATTAATGCAGGGGGTGGGAGAAGGGGAGGAGCCACGGGTTCAGTCAGCTGGGTGGACGGTGAACCCGCTCATTGGGAAAAGAAGATGCTGGGGCCGGGAGGGGACCAGGAGAGCACTTTGGAATATGCCGAGTTGGAGGGTCTGTGGGTATCAGATGATTCTAAGCAACTACTGTTCATTTTGCTGGGTCTGATAATCGAATTGAGGATTGTATAGCGTATAACATTATATGTGTATATGACATACGACTCCGTTAGAACTAATTATCCACATGAGACAAGACGGCACAACGAGATGCTGTAGGAGATGCTTTAAAATACTCTAGCAAGAAAAAGGGCGGGGGAGGGAGGGAACGGAGGCCGTTAGATGAAGAGACGCGACGTTGGTGGTTGTGGAAGCTGGGTGATGGGCCTGCTACTATTCGCTCCGTTACTGCGGATGCTTAACATGCGGGTGATGATGATGGTGGTGATGATGAAAACGTGGGGGCAAACTGACCGTGAAGGGAGGCAGCGAAATCGTTGCCGTGGAGAGCAGCACAGGCGCACAGAGACGTTTGTTTTTCAGATGAGCTACCTGAGCACGTTAACTGGCCGAGGGGAAGTGCTAGTCCCCAGACCACACGTGGAGCAGCAGCAAGGCTTTAGGGCAGGGGTTCCCAAACTTTTCTGCGCGTTGAAAACACTGGGTTTGGTACTGGTTCCTGTTTCCTACCTCCAGAAATTGTGATTTAATTGGTCCGGGGTCTGCACTAGGCTTGGGATTTTTAAAAGATCGCCAAGTGATTCTAATGTGCAGCCAAGTTTAGGGAGCGCAGCGCTGGGTCTTGCAGGGGAAGCAGGTAGCGCGCACGCAAGGAAATGAATCCATAAAGAAGACGCACCGATAACGTGGTAAGAACAGGATAAAGTTTGCAAGGTTAGTACAATGAATAAGGTGGCGGCGGAAGGGAAACTCATCACGCTTAACCAGTGCCTCGGGATGTGCCGAGGACCCGGCCCCTTTCGCTGGGGAGGAGGTGGCTGAGGCCTTTCATGCGCGTGCGCGCCTCACCAAGGGGGCGGGGCGCGGGCCCGCGGCGTTCTCCCGGAGC